GGTTGCATTTTTGCCAGCCTACGAACCCTTTATTAAACAAAACTTAGAAGTATTTACATCATTTTAAAGCTAGATATATTTACTGCATATTTTATATGAACAAATTCTTCTAAAATTCTTTTAAACATCTGTATTTTTTCTTTGATAATAAATCACAAAGATTATATTGCTTAATTACAAATTTAAAAATAAGACGGACATACTTCGCACGATGGGTATACCACTGTTTTAGGTGAGAAGTTAGAAAGGTAAAATATAGAGAAAAATGTAATGTGTATTTGTATGCAAAGATTAATCATTGTTAACAAAAAACGATTCTGAGCGAAGTTCGATTATACATGTTTTAAAAGACTGTTATATTTACAATTTTTGTCAAAATTTAATATCGAAATTCTAATTAAAAAAAAGACTACATTTAACTCAACTTTTTCTCATTGACCACTAACTACAACTTATAATGAACCTCCTGTCAAATTTTTAAAAACTATAGAAATTTTTAGCAACAATTGTATCTACAAATAAAAATTAAGTAAAAAACTCGCAAAATTGAAATGACCACAAATAACCCAAAAATGGCACAACTGTTTTGAAAGCTTTATCATGTCTAGAAAGAGCAAATATACATTCTCTGTCCAAATTTCAAGTCTCTACAAATATTTTTAATTAAATTACATCACAAAAACAAAATTGAAAATAACAAAATCATAATTTTCGTAAATTTTCCCGTCTATCCCGGTTTTTCCCCTTTTAAAAAAAAGTGCAACACTTGGTACATCAGAACAAGATTTCTGGTAGAATTTTTGTGCACGGTATAAAAAAATTATCATCATTGTAAAACCAATACATTTTTTGCTCTGCTCAAAATCTAAAAGAAACTCTTTCTTACAGTTTTACTCATAAGGAACAAAACAAATATAAAATTGTCTGATTTCACATAGCGGCTCAGGTGATATTTTCATACTTTAAAAAGCTTCGAAAAAAGGAAGGATGGAGGATCAGTACTAGGAGACAAACTTGGATCTTTTGTAAAAATGCATGAATAATAGAGGTATATCATCTGTAAAAAATCCAGTTTTTTGGGAAATATTCACGACCTTTACTAATTGTCTCCATTCAATAACTAAGCTAATTTTGATATAATTATTAGCTATACTTATTTTTATTATAATGGATACACTTTTATTCAATTTTTCAGACAAGTATCAAATATCAGACTTCAACTTCATAATATTATCATTTATTATTAATTATTAATACACGTGTCGGCTAAATTAAAAGTTGTAACTATCTTGCTTACTACTACCTAGTAGCGATAGTGCAAGGTCGTAATTGCATTACGGTCGACAGTAGTGGATTTTCAACATTTTTCTGGATCCTGGAAAATAATATGTATTTAAAATGTATCTCTATTGATAGATACCTCTTTTTTGGGCGACATTTTATTAAAATTATATCTGTATAAAACCCCCCATCCCTTAAATCCACACAGACAGTCGACGGTTCTATACTTTTTCAGGATATTAAATAATATTGTCATTGTATATACATGAATATCATTATTTATAAACGTGATAATACCATATTGGTAAATATTTGCAAGTATACAGTGATAATATTCAAACATGATAACTCAAGAAAGTCATCGAACTTTATAAGATATTTAAAATATCTAGTATCTAGTATCTACTATCTATTAAAATCGAAATTTCGGTACTACACATATTTATAATATAGATATAACAATAAGGTCGTTATTATAAATTAACATAATTTTTTGAATATATATTGATACCTATATAAATTATTAATTTATAAATTATAAATTATAAAACACATTTAAAGTTTATTAAAATCCAATTGAAATTTCCTTGTTATATACCTATTTATATGACATGTACCAACATTCATAATATGGAAAGGTTAAAATATTTACACAAAATAATTTTTTTTGTAATTTATTTCATTTTAAAATATCATACCATACATAGATAATATTTGGACTATAATATAATCTTATAGTAAGCCCAAAACTGTGTAGGTTTGGCCAGTAAGAATAGAAAATAATTGTGCGTATTAATTCGATTATATCTATACCTATATCTCTTGACTGTGTTACAATAAATGAATAACTTCTATGATACGTTATGAAATCTCTATTTTCTAAATATATGTAGGAGAATAAAAAATAAATCATTACAAATTTTAATGCGTTATTTTGTCCTGCAGCACAAGTCTAGGAGGGTCGTATAATTTTGATGTACAAGATAAAATCATTTGAAGTTCTCGGTCAGGGTCAATGGCCCAAACAAAGTTACCTTTTTTTTTTCTACACATTGTAACTAATTCGGTTTTTTTTTTTTTCATTTATCTTTCTACACGTATATACTCGTTCAGTTGGATTAGTTTATCGTTTATTGTAGACCGGTTATACGGAGGCACATGTTCGTCGAGCCTACGCGCAAATATCGGATGAATAACTTTGCGGCACAAGTAATATCTTGTCCTTGCCCTCCACGAAGTAATGTTCCATAATAATATTATGTCGACGTTCCCTTAAACCCATAAATCGGATAAACGCGCAGTGCCTGTATACGTAGGTATTGGATAAATGTCAACGTAATATATACTATAACATATATACTTATGTGAACTATTCACATCCTTACAAAACAATAATGCCTTATACTTTATAACTTTGAATTAAAAAAAAAAAAATACGTGTAATTCGATTTTATTTTTTTACGATTCATATTATTTATATACCTATACTCTACCGAGAATCAAGATTGTTCATACCGTAATCGAGATAAATTTAAAATTATGTTTGTATACCTACAATATTATTACGGGAGTATTTCATATATCTATATGAAACATAATATCATGTAGCGGCACGCATTGTCTTCAAACACACGTATTATATTTCGTTTAATATATTTTGGTTGAATTTTACTTCCAGCATCATCTCCTATAATATAAGTACATACTAATGGGTTCGGTGGAAAACTTGAATTAATAATACGTACGTGAATATTGAGTCCGTGTACACGTGAATGAAAAACGTGTACTCGCGTATAATCAATACACGCAAATTTACTTCCTGTGTTCACGCGTGTTATTCACGTATTCACGGATATTTATTTAGGTGATATAACGTACTATGTTAAATTTTATATGGATTTTGTACAATTTTAAATTATTATTTTATTGTTGAATTCAAATTTTTTACAATATTACGAACTTACTGTAAATATTATAACACTAAAATTATGAATACGTAAATAATTACACTACGGGTACACGGATTTTCGAAATACACAGTTTTATTTATTCGAATGTTAATATTTCACATGAATTAGGGATCTCTAGTACTTACTAGGTAACAATAAATGCGAATATACACGGAATATGCTTGAAATATTAATATTTTATCCAAAATAGATTCCTCGGTACTCCATTAATTGTTTATCAACGCGATTTCATAGATTTAATAAATAATAATATATCCATCTGCCCATAGGCGTGCGCAAACCTTGCTGACAGAGGGGCGAAATATGTATTTATGTATATTATTATTATTTATTATATATTTTATGTAATATAATTGAATATTATTTTAGTTATTAGTGTTAGTTCAATTAATATTAGTGATGGAAGTATTTTAATTTTTTTTACCATTAATTTAATTACAAATTTATTATAATAATTGAAATTTCACAGTTTTTGGAAGAAAAATTTAGCCTGTAGGAAGGGTATCTGCCCATTGTGCCCCCTCTCGTACGCAAGCTTATACATCTGCCATAAAATAACTATAGGTACAAGATAGGTATAATACAAAAATTAATGAATTTCAAAATAGCAGTAGGTAGGCACATAAGTACAGTAAATCAATTGATTTAATTTTGTAGTCTTAATAAATTATTAGTACTTGCATTATTGTTTTATTAATTCAAATCAATCAAAATATTGAACAAGGTACTATATAGATTTTGGTAAATTGATTCAAATCTTCCAAAATTCCTAAATTAAATAAATACAATGATCTCTGTCGAAATACAAAAATGTATACCTATCTGCGAACTAATTATTATTTAAACATGTATTCATACAAATTTGTATTTTTGAATAACATCATAAATTCATGTAAACAATTTTGTTCAACATTCCTATATTTTATACATTTTTACTATTTTGTAACATATTATTATATTAGGTATTAAGCTGCAACGTACAAATTCAAAATCGCTCTTTTATAAATTCATATTTATTATTATTATGTTTTTAATACGCGAATTAAAATTATTTTTCAATTGAATAAATTTAAAACTATTCTAATACCTAACGATTTTTAAAGTATATGATAGTTTATCGTCAAAATTTGTACAATCGAGTAACATTTGTAAGTCTAATTAACAATGAATACATTTTTATTTTGCTCGGTAAATAATGATGTTTAAAATTGTTCAAATTTACTAAACAGTTGCACGGATTACAGTCCAAAGTATGCATATTTAATTTAGAATTTGTGATTCTCGTAGTGAAATAATGTCCTATATGGGTCATTATAACAATAACCGACTTTTTTCGCACGAATATAAATATAACATGATTTATTAAAAATATATTGAGTTTAATTTGTACGAGTATTTTAGTAGTTAATCGAATATTTTACCATTTAAACATCATATTTAATGTCATTCGTGTTTATAAAATAAATCCGTTCGTTATGATAATCAAGTATAACTGCATATTAGTGATATTATATATATATATATAATAAAATAGTGGTCAAATTTATTGCTCCGATGGAGATCATGTCATGAATCTATAATTTTTTTTGTTTTTCCATACCAACAGCAAATCCTTAGATAGATATTACCGGAACGAATCGTTGGGCAATTACCCCGACTCCGATGGTAGGGAGTCAAACTCCTTTATAAGCCTCGCATGTAGACGCTCTTCGTACACTTCACTGAACTGGTCTTCTCAAGTCTGCCATCATGTTCAAGGTAAGGATTACGAAGTTATTTGTTTATATATTATTATCTATATAAAATATAATATCAGCGTAGTTGAAATATTCAAATTTTATATAATACTGAAAACCTGGTAGGTAATAAAAATAATATCCAATTAAATGAAAAATAGTTTACTTACATCGCATAATAATATTCAGTTATAAATATTTGCATTCCGATTTTTTACGTTTATTAATATTTTTTTTTATTATTCTAACAGTCAAATGAAAATGTCATTTTAATACAATAAAATTCTTTAATCCTGTTTTTACCTTAACCAATGATAGTCTCTAGTCGCATAAAACATACACATTTTGAACGAATAAATAATAATTTGACAAATTATTGCAATTGATTTCTTGATCACTATTAATTTTCAGTAACAAAATCATAATTATCAAATTAATAATAAATATCTAATAACGGGCAATATTAAAGTAAACTACGAATACTCAAATTAAAATAGTATATTATGGCTTAGGTAGCTCATTATTTAATTACTTTTTAAACTATATACGTATTAAAATAATATACACATATATATATATATACATTATATATTCATTCATATAATAATTAATTAGTTCTACAGTAGTGCAATTAGTATCTAGTTGTATAGGTTTAACATGGTTATGAATGTGTAATAATTAAAATTTGTGTATTATTTTGTATTGAGGTGATTTATATTCAAGATTTTTGTCAAATGAAAACGTTACAATTTTAATGTTTATCGATTCTACACTTGCGTTAAATTAAATATTGCAAAACTATTGTACACGCTAAATAACAATGTACGTAAAATATTATGGGAATTCATTTTTTTTTTTTTTTTTTTTTCATACTAAATATCAAGTATTCCCCTTAAAACCGCGATTATTGACAATTCGCAATATATTTATTTGAAATTTTAATTTAATTTTTGTTGGTATTATCGTATTTTTACGGACAAATGGAAACTTTAACGTGAATTCGCATCCTTATACTATCGATCAAGATTTAAAAGCGATTCGTTTATCTATAATAATATATTATATCCGATTTTATTAAGATTATAGGCTAAATTATAGGCCAATCGTCTTTAAAAAAAACCTACATCCGATAATCTACTGAAAAACAATCCGTATGTACCGCCGAATCTAGGTAATATTGTCGACCAATGGTAATATCAAATCTGTCATCAAAACATGGCACACATGCACAATACATTCATCTAAATCAATAGAATTTATTTTTTATTTTTTTGTGTTCAATTATATGTTGTACACATACTTACTTTATTATACTGTAATGATCTCTCGTAGATATATATGTATATATGCATTGTACCAAATATGTGTATACTGTGTAGGTATATTTCTCTAATAATAATAATACTAAACAAATAACAAATACATTTTAGTTAAAGAATTTCTATTACGACGCCTGCGGTATATAATGGCAATAACCTTTTTCAGCCTCAAGGCGAATTTGTAATTGCTACTAGATCATGACGTACTTATATAGCATACGCCCAACAATATATTATAGTGTGACTATGACGACCCGTCATCAATTCCCCGTTAATTTTTTATGCACAAAAACCTGTTTTGTTTTAGTATAACAATAAACCAAAATCTGAATATTTGTTTTAACATATGCTTCAGTACTTATAGTTCATTAATTACACACGTCTCTTAAGATGTACACGACGTTTTTTTATCCGTAAATTTAATTCATTAATACTATATTTAAATTATAAAAAAAACCGGATGTTAGCTTTTGCTATTGTTATTTCAATATTGTCCTGCGATTGTTTGTGGCTAAAAATATTATTCAAACGTAAGAAAGTGTACATTCGTGAAACTTTGTAGTTTTCACCGTAGACAATTTAATTGTATAAATGTAATTGTCTGTGATACACAATACGCAATCAATTTTATGATGAATTGAATACTTGAGCATAATATTACAGCTCAAAATATGTACACCTACCTACAAATTATATTAACAAAGTTGATGTAATCTTGCGCTACGAAAAAAATGTGTTTCGATATATTTTCAACATATTTATTTTTATTTTCTGTTCGAAACATTTTCGCCTCCTCTAAGACGGAGTAAGTGAAGTAAATCCATGCGTAGACTACCTATAGCACCAGCTATTAATTAAACTTGCATAACTTCTGTTCTTTGTAATAATCCTCGGTACTGTACTTTATAGATAGTATAGACTAATAATAGTGTTATTACAAAAAAAAAATTGCTCGATACACAACAGAATTTTTATGAGTAATATTGCATACCTACGAGTTTAATGATCTACAACGATGACAAATAATACGGATTTTTTTTTTTAATAATAGTTTTAAAATAATAATTATATGGATCGATATGGTTTATTCGAAATACGAATACACGTAGCACCGCTTAATCATTATATACTGCATACTCGTACATTATAATTCAATTAAAAATGTGTTCAAAATTAATACTAAACAATTCTTAAAATATTTAAAAGGTCTCATCGATAATAATACATTTATTACTGTTTTACAGCTTCTTACTTTATCTTGCCTGTTGGCAGCCAGTGTTCATTGCAAGCCTGCACAGACCCCCGTTGCTCCAGCCCCATACTACCCTCAACCATATCCAGCAGTATACCCTCAAGTATACCCGAAAGTTTATGCCGCACAACCAAAATATAACGCACAACCTGCGTACGTAGCAGTAGCTCCTTATTCCCCTGGAAGTTATCGTCAAGTTTATGCGCCGTAAGTAAAATTTGCAAATAAAAAAAACAAAACAAACCATTTCAAAGCGCACATTTAATTCGGTTTTTATATTATCATATTAAAATACTATAATGTGTTATGTGTACTATTACTGAATAAATACGTGGTCGGATACGTATTCTTATAAACCATAAAATGAGAACGATTTTCTAATTAAATAAGATTGTGTTGAAAATTGGAATTTAATTGTTGCAAGGAGCTCAATGGTTATGAATCCGACTTTAAAACGTTGATTCGTGGGTTTGAATCCCACACCGTGCATTATACTTTTTTTTACATTATTTTCGATACAGTTGTCATCTTGATTACGAAAGATCCACGAGTCCGTGCGACCAACATTATTATAGTATCAGTTAGCTTGTCATACGAATGAATAAATAAATTAGTAAACCAAATATATCACATTAATAATAAAGTTATAAATTATAATCATTAATTATTTATTATACTTGAACCACTAATATTCACCGACAATCACTGCACAGAATTATAATATATTTTATGTAAACATGAGCGAAAATATCCTTACGTCGGTTACCTATTTACATAAACACATATTAAAATCTAACCCTAAATAACAATATAGTTTTCAATTACTGTAAAGTTATATTGCCTACTCATTTAATAAAACCCTACATTGATGAATGCAAATTTTAAAGTCTGAGCGGAGCGAGGAATGTATTGGTTTTACAATAATGTTTTTTTTTAACTTTGAACAACTTTACTACCAGCAATTTTGCTCAGACTTTTAAGTGTAGCACTTTTTCTGAAAGTAAATCTGAATGAGGTGGTACTTTAGAGAAGTTACTTTTTAATTTTCTCAGGGGTTTTCATAATAAATGGGAAAACCGGGAAAAAATAATAAAATTTACGAAACATATTATTTTCAAATCGTAAATATTACAGCCTTTCAAAACATATACACCCGAACTCCACTCAGAATTGTTTTTAATTAACGATGGTTAATCGTTGTCTATAAATATACATTAAGTTTCCCCTCTACCTAATCAAATTCAACCCTACAAAAGTAGCCCACCCATCTAAGGACGAATCCAGGAAAGGGAGCTAGAGACTAAGGCCCCCGATATATTATTTCACCAATGTTTTTAATGACCCTGATATTATTATATTTCAGTTATAGATATGTATGATAATATAATATATTATACATGTCTGTACGGGAGCACGTAAAATATTTGAAAATATTTTGTAGGAACCGTATTTTGTCGGAAAAAGAATTCGTCAGAAAGTATTATGACGGAAACGTATTTTGTCGGAACCGTATTTTGTTGGAAAGTTTTTTTTCGGAAAAATAATTCGTTGGAAAATATGTTGTCAGAAAATAATTTTTACCCAACGACAATAATATCCAGTCACGGAGAGCTTATGATGAAATTATGTTGAACAGTTGCGACAAAATACTTTCCAATGAATTATTTTTTCAACAAAATACGGTTCCGACGAATTATTTTTCCGATTAAATACGGTTCCAAGAAAATACGTTTCCAAAAAACCCATTTTCGACAACATACAGTTCCGACAAAATACTTTCCAATAAATTATAGCCCTTCGTCTGTACAATGCACATATCATATTCCGATATTTAATTTCGTTTTTACGTGTTAATTGTTGACACCATAAATGCGCCACCCACGTCGCTACCAAAGTTGGCCCGGGCAATCACAAATAGATTTTAGTTGATTAAACTATTATGACACTAAAATTAGAATCTATATACATCATAATTGTATTTATATTGTGAAAAAATTGTTAGGGCTCCCCTAGATCTTTACTCTGGATCCGTGCCTTCACCCATCGTTTGCCCGTTTTATTATTATACAATGAACATAATAATATTAAATATTTTATTTTTCTATTCAAAACATTTTCATTCAACCAAGTATATAAAAATGCTTTATGTTATAAAATATATTGAATATTTTTCAGAGCTAATCCTGCCTTTAATCCTTACTATTACGGATACGCTCCATATCCTGCATATCCCCAACAATACTCATATCCATATCCGTATGTCCAAAATGACGGAACTCAAGGCCCGACACCAGCTCAAGGTGGTGGTTGGGGAGAATACTTCGGTAGTTTCATTAATTATATACCGAATTTCCCTTCTTTCACATCTGAAAGCCAACCGGCTTCACAATCAGAATCTCAAGGTGCAACAGGTACACCAGAATCTTCTGCAGAAGCTGGATGTAAGGAATTAAATGCATAATATCAAAAGAAAAATATTTATAATATAATTATTTAATGTGTAGCCACGGTTGAAACTGCAAATCCTATCAAAGGTGAAAAACCAATAGAAGGACAGAAAACAGAACAAGCGCCAGCTAGCGATGAGCAATCTGCCCAAGCACCAACAAAACAATTCGCAACTTCTCCATTTGTGTACTTTGGTCAGCCACAGTATTATGGGCAACCACCTTACCAACAACCCATCAACGATCCATCCAAGTTGAATGGAGCAAACAATGGTGCAGTTTCAAGTTTTTTGTTTTACAGAAATCAGCCTCAACCAGATTTTTTTCAACAATCCCAACCGGTAATAAAAAATAGAAATTCTACATAAAAACCTGCCCTAAAAATAAAATTAAAACTATAATTTTTGAAAGTTCCTTGAAAAAAACAACATATTTTTATTTAAATATATAAACACTCAGACGCTTTTTTAAATCTAAAATAAATAATTTTTAATCTTGTAACGGCCGTACCTCTCTAAAAAAGTAGTTTATGTATTTACTAATATTAAAACAAATATGCTAATTTTAATAGTTTGCTGATCAGAAATACTACCAAGCTCCTGCTCCTCAATCGAACCAAGGTACTGCAGCACTTGCTTACCAGAAGTACTTACAGTACCAAAAACAACAGCAAGATGGACAATACCAACAGGCACAGTTTCAGCAAGATCAATTTCAACAACAACAAGATCAACAACAGACACCATTCCAACCACAGCAACAACAATATGTTCCACAACCCCAACAAGACGAATCCTCAGTTGTTGTAGATTCAAATACAACCGGAGTCCAGGTTGAAACTGAAGGCCAACAACAAGCACAATCTAAATTAGCTACAGGTTCGAACTAATTTGGAGCTTAAACCCGACTGAATTTTTTTTATAAAATTTTCTAATTCAATTATTATAATTATATTAATTTATTTTTATTATTTATAAAAATGCCATTAGAAATGTATACGAATAGCAAGTAATATATCTCGTAGAATGTGCCGGTTCCATCCACATAATAACAGTATTATAATAGAAACTTAAAATAAAAAAATTATATATATTTTTGTCAAACAATATTTCGAAAATATACTTGTATTTTAATTAATAATTTTATTGTCACTGTCAAATACAAAATTATTGGTTCATAATAAATAATGTATTATTTTGTTGAAACTATTTGAACCATTAGCAGTCTGTACTTTTTATCAATCGTACAGGTACTGAGTTTTTAAATGCCATTACTATAATAATGGCAATCGTGTTAAATTTATAAACACACGATATTTGCCTACGCTAAATTTTACATTTTCTATATAAAAATCAATAGAAAGTTAGATACCTACTAACAAAGAATTATTTTATTTTAAACCTTATAATTTTTTTTAACGCACAGTTTGAATGACACGAATACATTTATCACAAATATATACATATAATATATTATATACTAACTATATAATTTAATTCTATTATGATTATAATGTGTTAAATTACAAAATTAAACAGTGTCTCGTATGTATAATAGGTCCAACCATAGCTGTAGCTCAGCCAGATGGTATCGCGTTCGCCGGAATCGGCGGCCGGGCCGGAGCTGCACCTATAGGCACGGCAATCGTAGGCCAAAATTCAACGGCAATTGCAGGTCCCAAAGCCACTGCCATATCAGTGGATCAAACGCCAACGATTAGCTTAACGCCAGTCCACAAGCTAACGTCAGCCTATTTAGCAAAATATGCACCCGAACTAGGAGTATACAAAGTGGCTGAAATCAAAACATCGTAACACTAGTAAAACCCGTAAAACTGTATTATATTTACTTAGCATTAAAATTTAAAAGGACGTGGCTTGCCTAAAAACAAACATGTTGTGCACCGGTTTAAAATCCACACAGGTTATAGTTGTAATTAAGAAACCAAATTTGTTCGTCAATGTAATATAAGAGCACTTTGACAGTGTTGCGGTCGTAGCGGTTTTATTTTTTCAATGGATATCATTATATAAAGCAAAAGTTATTAAAATGCTTTAAAATCATTAATTTTTAGGTATTTGCAATTATAGATAATTTTTTTAGTACTTACTCTATGAAAAAAATAAAAATGCTACGACAGATATAATTCTCTTATTTTTATGATGAAAATATGTTTTCTTAATCCCAACTTATATATGTAGCTTTAATGTATTAACGTTTCAGTTTATTTCATGACTATATAATAAATATGAGCAGCAGCATGTGCAGGAATTTTTAATAGGAGAAGATGTATAGTAAATACTATAGAATTGTCTTCTATTATACTTAACCGGACAATGAGACAATGATTAAAAGTTGCATCCAAAAAAACCAATTTGTATTCAATAAATCAAACTTTTTTTTCTCATTATTACTTGGTTCAAAATAAAATCCCAAAATAAATATTCATAGTTGATATACTATTTGACCTTCTCCCCTGATCATGCAAACACTACCCTCCCTTTTCCTGCACACGCTACTGAATACGATTGCATGCGATAATGGCATGAGGATACTTGCACTCGAATATTTATTTAAAAGTGAATCTAAATTTTTTAGTTGATTAATTTTAATTTTTTCAAAAATTCATTACAATTATCTACATACAAACCTTTAAATACTGAGTGCATCACGTCTTCTTAAAAAACATTTGTGATAATAATTTAATGAAAACACCAATATTTAATATGCATACGTACATTACAAATTAACGATTGTACATGAAATAAAATGACAAATCTTGCCTCGTAAAATATAATGATCATAATTTAAATTATCAATGATCCATTTATTTGTGACAGCACATTATTATTATTATTATTATTATTGTTGTTGTTATTATTGATAGCAGAGTAATTTTGGTTGCCTAAATAATTCGCCGCCATACATCGTATTCTAAAATATTAATTTTACTAGGTAAACTATTATGTTCATCTTAGTCGATACCATGCTAGGTAAATACCAAAAGCTGATCACATAGCTATTCACATGGTTATAGTTAAAACATACAACGATTGTTCAATTAAACACAATAATTATTTTGAACCTTAGACGTTTTATTTATAATTCTAGACAGTTTTTATATAAAAAAAATAAAATAAACTTGCAAACAAATATTGCCATAAATTATGAAAGATCGTAATGTTTAATATATATATATATATATATATGCTTTTATTAAAAATGTAGAATTTATTTAAGTAAATTCGAACAAAAATTAATAAATATTAAATATATATTGGAATTTAAACAAGAAGCTGTTGCCAGATGATTATTACCTTAAGTTGAGTGCATGGTGATCATCACCATGCACAAATATAATATGTATGTAGTTTCGTGTTGCATAACAAGTTAGACCAGATTATAAGCGTAGGCCCCCAAACTACACACGAGATAATCATACATTTTATTTTAAAGTTCGATGACCTTCCTTAGTATGAAGATGGTAGGGAACTCCATAGACAGAAAAGATTCACCATACCAGTCTTCGTTACATAATCGCACTAGAAACTACTGCAGTGTTTTTAAAAGGAGACATGGACTTATTTCAATTTCAAGTAAGTAATCGTAAAAATAGACTAAATAAATTGGTTAGTTATAGTGAAATATAAATATATTATATTATTAGTTGTTTTTAGACGCAATTAAAATCGTAAAAACTTATATTTTACTACTCTTTGTAAAATTTATTCTCAGGGTATCGATTTGTTTGTTTATTCGAGTACGGGCACTTAACGTAATAATATGATTAATTTTATTTGTTATTTTATAGTACACATGTTTTTATAAATTAATTGACACCTACCTACTACTTTTAGTTAATTCGTATAAATATAGTTATGATTTAAGAATAATTTTTTAAATATTGGGTAAATATCTAGGAAATTCGTTATCAGAATCTTAAATAATTATTGATACATTAATTATTATTAACTAATTCAACGTATACAATACATATATGTGTACCTATTAAATAAATACCAAGAATGTATAATCTGCAATATTGAGCGTTTAAAAACGGGTGTATAATCTTAATATCTAGATATAAAAGTAAGTATGATATGTAGTGACATCTCCAGACCTTGGCTTGGTGGGGACGAAATAGTTAAATTTAATATTAATAATTGATAAGAAAAGAGACTGAAAAACTTCGCAGTGGGAGGATCACTGTTGTAGATGAGAAGTTTGGAAAGTAGGATTTGAAAGAAATTAATATATATCTGTACCTAAGCAAATTTAAGTATTGCCAACAAAAAGCGTTTCTGAGTGGACCTCGGTTAATAGTGCTGCTCAGAAACGTCTTCGAATCAATTCAATGGGCGGAGGGCGGCGAACAATTTTTACTCTTGAATACCACCGCTTTGATCAACAAAAACTTAAAACCTTTATGTCCGATGTCATTTCAGCTTATATTAGCTTAGAAGACTACGGATATATTGTACAAATGCAGTAAAACAGTACAAGTTAAAAGTTAAATTAATTTTTTTCACATTAAGTAAATAATAATTAAAATAATGATAATATGAATAATAAAAATAATAATAATAATAAATAAAAGTTAGATGATCAAGCCTAAAATACTTTTATTTTAAGCAGCGTTTTGCAAACGGTTTTATCAACAATATTTTCTATGTTAATGTTTTCATTCGACGAATATTTAAAAGTGTTAAGCCAATTAACATCTGCTCAAAACAATTTTTTTAACACAAATTACGACTTTTAATAAACCTCATGTTAAAATCTCAAACATATCTGTTTGGTCTAACAATTTCATCTACAGAATACCTACCGAATACAAATTACGTACAAAACTCGTAAAATTGAAATATCTATAAATTGCTCAAAAATTTTACAACATCAAAAATAGGCAAATATAAGTTTTCTATCGAAATTTCATGTTTCTACGGATATTTTTATCTGAATTACATCAAAAAACAAAATTGAACATAATAAAAGCATTATTTTCGTACATTTTCCTGTTTTTCTTACGTTTTATCCTAGGTTTTTTTTAACATTATTAAATCTGCTTTGAAAATCAAAAAATGACCTTCCTTAAGTACCATCTAGTCAATATGGCAATATTTTTTTTTTCAAAAAAGGTGCTAAATTTATATATTGAAGCAAGATTTCTAGTAGAAATTTTTGTCACAGTATAAAAAAAAAAAACAATATGTAAATTATAATATTAATCTTATTAAGTAAATAATCTTAATTAAGTAAATATAAAATTTAAATTAAATTAATCATTTCCAATTTCGGTTCTAAAAATATATTATTCTATTATATCTTTGCAAATTGATTGTTCCAAACTAGTTTTCCATAATTCTATCTCACCCTTGAGAGAATATTTATTGAAATTTATAAATGAGAAGTGTTTCAAATTTGTTTCAATCAAAGTATTTCCAAAATCCGGAATCATCTTTATGGCATTTGGAACCAGTTGTATATATACTTATTTGTATTATGGATATTTTGTATAACAAAAAAGAACATAATACAGATTATAGGGAGGGGGAACGATCGCCCGCCTCTCAGGGACGCGCGTAATTATATGAATAATAATATTAAACTGTTTCACACGACTTTTTAAATTTAAATTTAATAATTGCAAAGTCATAATGCATTAATTCACGTTAAATTTGAATTGGTTCTAGAGGAATTAAAATATATAAAATAGTATTTTGTTTTACTAAAAATCAATATTCAAAATATAATATGTTTTTGTTTAGATTGTATATGAATTTAAAACATCCATTAGAATAATTTGTGTAAGGCAATATATATATTGAAATATTATAATGAAACTATACAGATTGCCAAAGTGTGTAAAAACGATTGTAAACAATAAATATGGTCATGTTTACTAATTTTGTAATATTATTATTATATATTATTATATTATTGTTATAATTTTTATTGTTATAATAATTGTTATTATGGCTTTTATTATCATTATTATTAGGTTATTGTAGTTTTAATAATATGCTACGAACAATTCAGTGACGCGAACAACGTCAATGTCCCGAACGAGCGCCATCCAGCAGACAGATCAAGGTGAACGTCATCATTTATTACACGTGTATAATAATTGACAGACTGTTACTAAATCATATGAGAGGAAGAACACCTATTGGTTTCGGCTAGTAAATTATCAGGTTTTAGATAAATTAAATAACAAATCATAGGCCAGGGTTTGGCAAACTTTTTTAACTGGTAGCCAGCAGAAAAAACTCGAAACATAGGTACTTGTGGCAGGTTGATTTAATTTATTTATATTTGAATTAGGTAGGTGTACGACTTTTATACGTTTTTTTCTCATCTTATTCTTACGTTATTTATCTTTCTTTATTTTAATTAATAAATTTGGTTCGTGGGTTGCACCAAGAGTGGTCACAATCCATATAATATGACCATGTGACGTGGTTTACCAATTCTTGGCTATAACTATAATATTATAAAACCTCTGCTAATTTATAACTATAACTATTTGTAACTATACACGCTAGTTACTTCTTACTTATTAAAGTAAAAATATAACATGAGAAAATCAAATTGTATGTTTGCTTTAAAAAAATGTACCTACTGAGATGATCATAATACTTTAACTTTATATAATATAAATAACCATATATTACTTAATTAAAATACGTGTTCATTTCAGGCCAAAAAAATCAGTTGATACAGAAATTTATGTAGCACTTCCACCAGATACTACCAAGACCGGCAAACTACAAAACAGTCCTCCAACGTTAATACGCCTGGATCCTAATTCTCCCAATAGGTTCAAGGGCAAGTTTCCAACGCCAATCGAACGTTTTATACAGCGCATACAAAACTATTTCTCTGTATATAATCCACCGGAGTATTTAAATGACCTGCAGAGACCTGGTATTAACAATCCAGAACATGACGAAGACCAAGTAAACCCCTCAAATGACACACAGATTATACTACCATGTAACGGTACAAGCACAATAGTAATCATTCCAATGCCATTAGAAAATGAAAATTTGTCTAGCGACCAAAATATAAATCCAGACAAACTCGAAGTTTACAGCACACCGACCACACTTAAATCAGATTGTCCTGATGAAGTAACTACGACGAAGCCAAAATGCCCAAATGAAACTACGCCAAAACCAGTGTCCTACACTAAAGAAACAACAACTATAAAACCCAACTGTCCAGAAATGACTACTCCAAAGCCCGACTGTCCAGAAGTAACTACTCCAAAGCCCGACTGTCCAGAAGTAACCACTCCAAAACCCAACTGTCCAGAAGTAACTACCCCAAAACCCAACTGTCCTGAAGTGACTACTCCAAAACCCAACTGTCCAGAAGTGACCACTCCAAAACCCAACTGTCCAGAAGTGACCACTCCAAAACACAATTGTCCAGAAATAACCACTCCAAAACCTAAGTGTCCAGAAGTGACCACTCCAAAACCCAAAAGTCCAACAGTAACTACTCCGAAATCTAAGTATCCAGAAGTGTCTACTCCAAAACCTGAATGTCAAGAAGCAACATTTCAAAAATCACCATGTCCCCCCAAACAAATATTAATTTCAAATGAACATAAGCCTGTATCTGACTATGGACCTAGTGAAGTACCGCCACTAAACCTAGTAGCCCAGCCAATTCTAGGTTCCACGGTGGTTTATTTTTACAAAAATCCTTCAACTTTACCCCCTCCTAATTCACCTGCTTACTTTGGGGATGAATATCCCCGTAAACCAAAATCACCTATATTACGACTAAAGCAATTATTATTCCCACGATTGTACGCGGCTTTTCATCCTGAAGACTAAAACGCCAACATGTAGGTAATGGTAATTTCTAATAATTATAGACGAATAATTTGTCAACAAATTAAATATATTTAATATTAATACGTAGATATTTATCTTATAATAAAAATAAAATATAAATGATTTCACTTGCGTGTTTATGACTACATTTTTTAATAAATTCATGTACGAAGTATAATTTGGAGTACATTTTTCTAGATTCTGATATTTCTTTATTACACTCGAAGTAATATATAGGTACACATTTAAACACATAAAATTAGCATTTTTTGTGTTATAAAAATGTGTTTTCATCTAATCGTGGATAAACGTACATAATGTATTTATACATGTGCGACCCTTCTCTGAAACCTGCTTTAATGATAGTCGATAGAGATAGATACACGACGAATATAATATAAAAGAAAGTCCTTTCAGTCTTAACGTGACTCTCGTACGATCATGATACTAGTATTAAACTTTATAACTGAACAAACGGAAATCTTGAGACAAGTTTAGTTATTTTTCAGATACAGTCTATATCTTAAAAAAATAAATAAACATACATTAAAAATCAATATTAGTTATTATAAACGTAGCTGCAAGGTACAACAAGAAAAAATGATCGGACACTGGAAAAACACGCTTTTATTAATTGTAAGTAATTTTTTAAAATAGAATTTTAACGTATTTAAGTATACATTTAAAAAAAATTACCTTGTATCTACGAATAAAAGTTACGTGTGGGAAGTTCATTATAACCACTAGTGTTCTTTTCAATGATATTATATAAAATTTCAATTTTCAAGTGAGATATGATTGTGTAAAATATCACGGTTTAAAAACCCATATAACTCGCTTAAAAATGTATATAACGTTATCATTATCAACAAAACTTACTTAAAATGTAAAAAAAAAGTTGTAAATAGATTTACTGTTTTATACAGTTTGTATAAGTAATATTATACATTTTAATAAACCATACTAGTATTATCTATTCGTATGTAAGAACTAAAAGCGTCTGGCATATTTTTGTATACATTATCAATGTAGTTTAATCATTTGTCTCAATATAAATTGTACTGATAAAGTCACGTTGAAAAATTGAAAATTAATAGGTAAATACTCCATAATGCTTGATTCTTACAAAATAATCACTGTATTAAATTTTAAACGTAGCTAGGGATTTGTTAATTTAATATGATTGTTAATGGTAAAAAAAAAAAGTGTATCATAATATAATAGTTTTTTTTTTTTTTATAAACTTTGTACATGTAACTTATTATTTTTGTACTTAGTAAATTTAATATTTATTTATTAAGTTTACAACATTATACATTTGTCTGTTTTAACTACAATAAATGTATTCCATCTACATACATTATAACCACATAATATAATTAAAAAAAAAATTCCGATTGAAAACCACAAGTTTCCCATTGTAAATTTGTTGAAATAGGTACTATCAGATACTGGTTCGGAAAATATTTATTAGAACTATACAGAATTCACAAGATATCATAAGATACAAAAATATTTATATGTTTGGTCAGATATCTATTTTCAAAAATATTGGCATCATTATTGTTTTCTATATGTCATCCGCATTTTCATTAATACAAAAGTTATGAATATTTATGTAAATAAAGAGACTCTATGAGAAATATCATTTTTGTTTCGATTTCCAACGATTACAATTCAAAACTTTCTCCTGGACCAAGGAATAAAAAATAAAAGTTGCGTGGCATTGACAAACAAATTTCTTTAATATAACCTATGACTCGGAGTAAAATAATAATATATTCCATCTAAATAGCTTAATATGGCAAAACTAACCATCGTATACATATAATATACGCCTCGAGTAAAATTTCAATATAATTACTATCTTCAATAAACATGTATATACATAGTTATTATAAAAATTTAAAAAAAAAGTAAATATATATAAACAGTAGAAGCCGCTTATTAGGAAAACTTTGAGACCGAGGTGAAACGTATGAATTCACCGATTGTTTTTAATAAACGATTGGTTTTAAAGTACGATTGTTTTAATATACGATCGATCCCGTCCCTATACATTTTGTTTCAATATCGCGATTGTATCAATTATTGGTGTTCCTAATAAACGACTTACACTGTGTATTCAACTAAAAAAACGTTGTAGACATGAAAATAGAAATAACTGTTTTTAGGATAAAAAAATAATAAAATAACAACATATTTATTAGTGGTTTATATAATTGTCTTTTAAAAATTAAAATAGTAGTTATAAATATAATAGATATATATAGTTGTATCAAATATTTTGTTGTAAATATTATAAAAAAATGTATAAATAACTAGTTGGAATATTTGTATGCGATAACTATTCTTGTTTTTTATATATTAGATGGGTTTTTTTTTTTTACATACCTATCTTATATGTTTAGTTTATTAAAAATAATAATTATAGGTCATTAAGTTTCAGACAATTTTTTTTTAATGAAAACCACTTAAACAAAAAACACATCACACGTATAGTGTTATATTAGGTAACTTAAAACTCCAAATAACTATAAATAGAAGAGCGGTAATAAGATTTTATTTCTTTAATGGATATTTTATTACTACTGTCTCAATCACTACGATACCTATTCGTATTAATTAGGTGCAGATAATATTTTATGAAAACGTATTCTTATTTGAATATAATAACAAAAATAGGTCCGGGAACTTCATACTAAATACGAGAGCGCAGAATTTTTTTTATATTCAAATAATTTCCAATATCAGATTTTTCTTTAAACAAACAATATTAAATTCAAACACCGATTTATGAAACATTTGGTGAAAACTATCAATTTCACATTTTAATTTCGGTGATACTAACTTAAAATACAGGATTATATTAAGTACACGAACAATTTAAGAAAATATAATATTAATATAATGTAGTATAGTTATAACAGTTAACCTGATTCCTATTCGCATGAATTTACAAATTTTACTTTAACTGGTTTTTTAAAACTTTTTATGGAATATGATTTAATGTCGATTTTATTAAATACGTATATATCAAAAAATAATAATAATAGCAAAACAGGAATGCGTTATTTTCTCCTCTATAAAGTGAAAATTGCATATATAAATTTCGATTATGGTCCGTATTTTTGATGTTCATGTAAAACATGTTTTACGCGAGTTTCGTTCAAATTTCACGATTACACTACAAATATTAAATGTAATAATGACACGGCCGCTTAAGAGACCACTTTTAAATTTGTTTAAAAGTGAGTTTGAGTATATTAGTATAGTTAAAATATTATTACAGTAATTATTACTAAAATTTATTTTAATGTTAATCAATTTTAATAATGTCGTTAAAGTTGCCTACAAGCAACTCCTTAAATATTGGGCGTACAGCGGCCCGCGGCCTCTTAAGCTAAATTGTATAAATAAACACATAAGTATAAATACAAATAAATATATATATATATATATATATTTATATTAAATATCTATATATGTTAAAAATGAATGAGTCTAATAATGAATATAATAATATAATAGTTTAAGGATCGCACTGACATAAGTGAATAAAACAGTGTTAAATGATTTGAACGTATTTAGTGTAATAATAATAAACACAAAAAACAAAGTGAAAGCAGAGATAACGATATAAGGAGATCTTGAAGTAATTCAAGTAGTGAATGACTTCGCTAAATCACCGCCCTTCGTGAAGAACAATAGGTAAATATTATATAGAATAGTAGATTAACAGAGAAAATGGGTTGAGATAGCCAACTCTACTTGTGCGAGAATTAAATGAGAACATTCAAAATCCGATACGTTGAATACTATAAAATGAATGGGTGGTAAGAAAAATGTATTAATATATTTTAAGGTTTAAATGAAAAATGTAAGAGAAGGGTTTCGAACTGAATAAAAGTAATTTAATTAATTTATAATAACAAAATAATAAAATATTATGTCGAAAGTAAAAAAAAATATAATACAGTAATTACCTACAAAAATATACATAGTATACATTGTATAAACATGTATACATTTATTAATGATAAAATATATATAGTGTAATGCATGTTTGTAAATAGTATTTTAATTGCTTATTTCAATAAAAACATAAACTGATATCACCTTTCATCACGTTTGTCGGGACTATAAAATTTGAGTACCTATCCAATAATAAGAAAATTAAATATATAAAAACAATTTTATGATTATGAAATGGTTTTTTTTTTTTTTTTATATATCATTGAATGTAACCAAAATAATTTATTGACACAATAGTTGTAAATGCTATTTGAAAATGTTCGATAAAGTTTTTAAAACTTTCGAGATTTATAATAGTATCGAATAGTGATATAAGAGTACTACGACTTGCACGCAATGCCTGGTAAACAGTGTGTCACGTTATTTGTGGTATTTCTGCTTTCTAGGAGATTTAACCAAAAACCAAATCGAATAATGCTAAACGAAAACCGGTTTTACATGTTTTAAACATAGGCAGAGGTATCTAGAGAAATTAAAAATCATCAGTTATCACTTGTTGCCCATTATGAATCAACTACTTTTTAAGTAAAAAATTAAAATATCATATTATTTTCCAAAAGGAGGTTGAATTGAATTAAATATTCGTCTGTAAGTGTTTTATAAAACTAACTGTGAGTTATAATCGTCTCAAATAGTGTAATAAATTCTTAAAATTAATTATTTTTTAAATTTATAATCACGAATAATAAATATATGCATTTGTTGTAAATGAAATATACCTAAATATAGTCAAATAGTGTGTGCTAGAATATTTTTTAATTTCTGGGTAAAAAATAATTACATTTTATTTATTCTTTGAAATTAATTTTTTTTATTTTCTCAATAGTAATTAATCTTCCAAATAATATCCGAACGCCAAAAATGAAATTCACGGTAAGTCCAATTATAATGTTTTATCTGCTTTTATTACATATCTCTTTCCTATTCAATACCCTTATTGATAAAATTGATTCTTCAAATTTCTTATCACTAATTTTCTTCAAAGTCTCTCTCCGTCTCGCTCGCTCATCGGTCCCTTTACATATTTTATAATCTCCAACGTTTCTTCTTGATAACTTTTCAATTATCCGATTAATGCACACCACTAACCACGATCCATAATTTTTATCAGATTCTAGAGATCCCTTATTTTTTGCAGCCAAACTAAAATTGACATCTTATTTAAGCTTGTCTCAAGCTATATAATAATATAAGTTAGTTAAGATAGTTTTAGTTTAGTTTGTATTGTTGTATGTTTATACCATCATTCTTGTATATTTAGGTTTCGGCTTATACTGCAGTAAAATAAAATAAAATAAATAGTATTAATATTCAAGTAAATTTTTGCATTTTTATTAAAATGTATTATTATTGTATTTAATAATAATGGCTAAAACAATTTTCAAATATCATTTAGAATTAGTGGTAAACTAAAAAAATAGAGCGTAATGTGCTAAGTTTTTTTTTTTACAAGCATTAAATGTTAAAATGTTAATAAAACTTAATTTTGATAAAAATGCAATAATATGTACCGTCCCATGTACTTCACTTAAAACAAATAATAGAGGTCAACTAAAGTCTTTGAAAAATTAGTTGAGGTACGAAATCCCGCTGAGTCCCCCTCCTCCAATCTAAGTACTGTTATTTATAATATAACAATTATTTAAATATGTTCATTTATAATTATATTAATATTATATTAAAATTGTAGTATTCAATTATAATTTGATTAAAATCTTTATTTTTATTTTCAGTTCGTGATTTTCATAATGATTTTCCAGAACATTATGTACACTGACGCGGGTGTAGTAGATTTGTGGAGAAATCCCGGATTTTTACCCAATGTACCGATTGATGAAATTACTGAAACAGCGTAAGTAGAAAAATACTAACTTGTTCCGTGCATAGGCATCAACACAACGCAAGTCACTCAATAACTCAGAAAATATTAACTTAATCGAATTTTTTTTTTAAAAAATATTTAAGTAATAAGTAGCTCTAAAATAATATGAACGAGTAGATTAGTACTACTACTGATCTAGTTACTACTTGTTTAGTTATTCAATTTCATAATTAATTTTAGGGCAGATTGAATGATCATAAAACCGTTATAAAAATATAAGAGACCACTTCATTTTATTTATAAAACTATTTGAAAATGAAAGTGAAAATAAAAATGGCTATCAAAAAAAACGAAATTTGATTTCTTCCTTGTCTGAATCCTAAATACGCCACTAGTCAATGATTCATTAAAATAAATCATTAAATTTAAATTAACTATAGTACTTGTTTCTCAATTGATTAAGTAAAAACTTTAATTTAAAATTTATTTTGCTTATACAAAATATTATTATTATCTGTGATTATTTATGTCAACAGAAAGGACCCACCGGCAATGGCCCGGATATTCTATTCGGCAATCGGCGATTTTGCAGAAGCCGTCCCCATATTTCCGATCACCTTCAACGTGCCGGATACGTTATCGGCTTTCGGGGGTATGATGTCAGGTTTGTACAACTTCATGACGGGAAATAAAAACCCCGAAGGATCGGAACCCAAAGACGTTGTCGATACCATGCTGAGAATTTATGAACAAATAGTCCTACAAGATGAAGCACTCGGTGACAATGAGCTCGAGGAATAGTAACTAACGAATCCGTAGTATCTCAGTATTTGCACAATATTATCGAATGATTATAATAATATTATCGTCAGAAATATACGTACTTCACGTATTTGTTATTTATCGTATACATGTAAAACATTATATATATATTGGACAAAATGCCGATAAAAAGATAATAGTATTATTAAAAACTAGTCTACGGTAGTATCCGGGTACCTACCTACATGATATTGTCGATTTTACGTGCACCCACTAGAAAAGTAACCAATTTGAAATTGACATTTAATAATGATGACGAATATACCTATAAATGTAATAATAAATTTTTTTATTTGAATTCAAATGGTTGCCAGGGTATATTTACACTTATTACTATTATTAGTTGTATTACTTTAGGTATACTCTAAAGAGAAACCCATAATAGGTTCTTAGGTTTTTTTCCTGTGCGTACTTATAATTAGGTAGTTATACTTTGTAGGTAGGTACCTAACTACTTATTTATTAACAATAACTATATTATATTTGTTTGTTGTGTTTTTATTTAAACTTGTGTTCTCTTAGGTGAAAATATATTTAAACGCAATTCACTCAATTTTATTAAGCTAATAATATAATAGAAGATTAAGCTACCTAGATTAAGGATTTTACTTTAATTAAATTATCATGCGGTATCCACTGTTTCTTTTGAAATACCTATATATATATTTACTTTTAATTAATTTTCAATATTACACTCCAAACATTTTCATAATCTAAATAACCAACGTAGTAGGTAACAAAATCGTCATTTGATTTGTATACAATTAATGGATTAAGATCTACACCCAAGTAGTCATTTTTAAATTAATATAATTCGAATCGTTTAGATTTCAAAAATAAATTGTGAGAAAATGTCTTATAGACACTAATTACAACAAGCTTATCAAAATTTAATAGTTAAGTTACCTTCCTAACATACTCATCAAATTTGTTTATAATGAGTAAAATGATGCCATGTAAAAAATGACTAAAATATACTTATTTAAAATTAATTGTTAAATTATTGTAATTTATTAATTAAAAATGTTAAATAAATTATTGCAATTTAATTGTTTATAGTGTATTATTATTATTTATTTTTATTTATTTTTTATAGTATCGATTTTTCTATTGTATTGATTTGTATTCATTTTATGATCATTGTAAATATGTACTTATAATTTGATTGTTTTGTGCATTATTTATTTATTTTTTATTGTATTGATTTTATACCAGTTGTTTTTATTAAATATCATAATAAATGTTGGGAATTAAAAACACAAACGAATTTATTGTATTCATCAATTTATTAGTGAAATGAATAATAATTTCTATGTCTGTTACTTATACCATTAGTCATTCCATTATAATACCATACATCACATACCATATACCATTAATGTACATGTAATGGTACACTGATTTATTGCATATAAAGTAATTGTCACTATTCACCGTTTTATCTAACTTTGTCCAGGTGGTTAACAAGCGATCGCATTGGAGCTGCGATAGTTATCAGGTTTTTTTTTTATTTAAAATGTATCTATAATTAAACAATTTAAATGTATTAATATACTAGTCCCTGTTAAATGTTAACTAATTTGTAAAATAATACACCGCACGGTAGGTATTCATAAGCAAAGTAAAGCATTCAGTTTATACATGGTATTTTAATTTGAAATATTTTAAATTCTAAGTGAAGTGAAGCGAAAAATATATAGTTATACCTATTGGTTTTACGACACGGGAGATTTTTTGTAGGAAAATTAAAAATTGTAGATCAATTAATTAATCAATTGATTATCAAGTGAGATAGAGCAATTTAATTATAAATGTACCTATACATTTTTAATGGATAATTCCGATTTTTACGCTAAAAGTGTTAACTCAATAAATTTTGTTCACTTAATCATTTAAAATAATTAAATAAAAAAATTGTCCCCTAGATAATATCTATTAGTTATAATTAGAGACAAAATTTATATTCACTTATAAAATCCACAAAAAAGCGCTTACAAACGTAAAAAATGCCCCGAATAAAGAACTTCAAAAATATTTTAAATAGCAAAAATAATAGAAGAATTTAAAAGTCCCTCTCCCCTCTAACAGCTCTAACAGTTTAACTTATTAAACTAAATTTTTCTAAAATCACAACAATTTTAACACAAAACCGATAATTTGTTTCAAATAAAATTGCTAATATTTTTATTTTTTGGTTTTTATTAACAATTAGTAATACCTACTATGACAGCTCAACAATTATTAATATATACAGCAAATTCCTATACACATTATTATAATTTTAGACTATTCTATACAATTATTATCTTAAGATTAGTAAAACCAGCCTCCAAAATAAAGGTAATAATGGTATTGATAACGTATTTAGAATTGGTATTGAGAAAGGAGTAGAGGTTGGGAGAAATATTGAGGGATTTTAGGGAATTGAATAAAGTTATTAGTTTCGTGGACAGAGTTGGGTATTCGAATAGAACATAAGAGAGATCGTAATAACTTCCAGAGAGATGCAGGGTACATAATGAATAATGATTATATTGGGGAATCGTTTAGCCCCAATCAAAAATAAATATTATAAAAAAAATAATCATTTATTTAGTATTTCAAAATTGTATTTAATAAGTTAAAGCTCTAAGAGAGAGGCTCTTAAATGTGGTAAATAAAATGACTCATATTGTCTCTCTGTCTCTCTTGTTAAGTCATAAAAACTTACTCTATACCTACTAAATACCTTCTCTAAACTTTAAGGTTAGGAAAACCATAGATTTTAATGTTCTCTTGGCGTCTATTTCCCTCCTTCCAAAAAAAGACCATGTTCCCTAAAGGAATCTCTACTAAGTCCATAAGCCGGGCTCAGTTTAGGCGTGTCCTATCAACTTATTTATTATCTATGGTTTACATTACGGTTGTAGATGACAGGTGGCTCGTCGATCGCGGTAAAGCTATAAGCACGAATTAAGATAGAACAAAAACATTGAACCATATTAATTTCTATGATTTTAGTTGATTTTTATATCAATTTTATCTTAAAGCGTCAGCTGTCATGCCAAAAAAGTGAGAACCGGGCGGACTCAGAAGAACATTGATTAGACCTTTCCGCTCCGTATCTCATACATCTTAATTCGTGATTCGTGACCATAGGGTACTACCCAAGGTCAGACTCATAAATGTGTTAAGAAATGGACTACGCGTACACTATACATTGCCTAAGGTTTGACGGTCCAAACATGGAACGAAGGAGACAGACGGTGACTTTTCATCTGTTCACCATAGTAAATAGTAGATATAGTAGGTAATAACTATAGATATTAAATCTATCCGATACATAGATATATATTATAAACTAGATTGTTAACTAGTGATAACATGAGAAGTTTCGTTTCGTCATTTAATTTGAGGCCGGAACTCTATTATCAATTGATAAATTTTAATCACACTATCAAAATACTATTCACGATTAAAATAAACATTTTAAACATTCTGGTATGTCTATGACGACTACCTATTGGTTTTTGATTTTTTTTTCACTCTTTTGAAATTTATACTGTTTTTTTTTTCTATGTATTCTTTCATTTTATTTTTTATATTCAGTCGCTTTTTACATTTTCACTATGATATACCTAATGATAAATTTTTAATTCAAAACCGGTTGTATAATATACTTATAATACTTCATTAATTTATTAATTTTTTATTTCTATATTTATTTACTAAGTACACTAAATAATAAATATTGTGATTTAAGTACAAATATGATAAAAACTGTGAAGATGTGTAGTTGCCATGGGTTATGGATGTAAAAAAATATGTATATGTAAATATAACAAAAATTAACAAATAAATGATATATTATGATACCTACCTACATACATTTGTGTACATTGTTATTTTATTAAAATTAACAAGCAAGCAAACGATATAAACTTACAAAAACAATTTTGTTTTATAATATGTGATTTATTTTATTATTTTTACAATTATTAATCATTATTTTAATCATATAATTATTGTTATAAAAGTACCTACCGTTAATGATGTTTTTATTTTTTGATTATTATTTACTAATGTAAAAAAATAACGACCGTTTTAATAAAACGTAAAATTTAACTAAATTTAAGATGTAAAACTAAAAATTTCTAATTGTTGAATTATGATTACAATTTATGATACAAAAAAATTTGTTACATAATATACAAACTATATAGGCTAGTTAGCAACCTAGTTTATTATATAAATCTATGATCTAATAATAATCTTTATTATCTATGGTAATAACAATCGTTATAATCGTGATGGTTTTATCATATTAATTCCAATAACGAGATAACGAACAAATTTGATTTGAGGTTATGTATCATATCAGTAGATTGTGATGATTTTGAAGGCATGTTTTTGTTTTGAATTTTTCGCTAAACTCGTCTTATTTTGTTAATTGTTTTGACATAATTTTTTTTCATATTAATCCACAATGAAACAAATATTTATTGAAAAGTGTTTATTATATGGCGATACACATTCTAGTTTATATAATGAACTTATTATTTCAGGTAACTATAAAATCTATTTCGAAATACTTTTACTTATATTTACATTGGGTACCTATTCAAAATTTGTTTTTCAGACAAAATTGTATCGAATGAAATGAAAAATGTTCTCAAAGGTGACTATGTAAGTGTTCTAGAGAACGATTTGTTTTTGTGTCTGTATAAGGAATTTGGAAGTCTGAGCAAATCGAATTTTGGTTCAAATGTTATAAAACATTTAAGGAATTTCTTAGAATTGAATCCACTGGAGTAAGTATTTAGTAGTTAGTTTTAATGAAAAATCCCCAAGTTGAATAACCATACATTTATGGATTCATTTTATCTCCATAATTTGTATAGGTACTCTTTTTTAGTTCCTTTTTCAAAATATATAGGTTTCAAAAATATTTTCTAAATATGTTCACTAGGTAAACAAGACAAATTTGTCTTGTTTAATTTTGTGGTTAGCTTCAATTATTTATATATAGTTACTTAGGTAGTTCATTAAATAATTATACTACAACTGATTAGGTACAACAAATAAAACAAAATGTTATAATAACATAATTATTTAACATAGAAACAAAAGTTGCAACCCCATTCAATGAACAATGCTTGCATGTGAATAAGCTGAGTTACAAGTAATTAATATAATATTAAAATTAGTAACTTCTATAAAATCTTTATATTGTGTCTTTGTGAGATCGATTTTAGAAGTATGGGGCTTTAGTGTGGGATCCAGTTACATTGTGTGGTATGAAGCAAGTTGATCGGGTTCAACGAAAGTTTCTGAACTTTGCATTATACGCATTAATGATTGATCACCCATCCCATGACAACACACCAGTTATGAATCAGTTAGACCTGGATACTTTAGTGGAAAGAAGACTTGTAGTGTATTTAACCTTTCTTAAGGGCCTTATTGATGGTGTTATTTTATTCCCAGCAGATGTATATTCAGTTCCAATATACACTATCAATTTTGCAAAAATAGCTATTATACACAATGATGAATTTACCAAATAAGGATCTTTATTAACTTAAATACAAATATTTTTTTTATTATTATTGTTTTTGAATTAATTTGAATATTTTTTTATTTTTTTTATTTGTATTTTCAGTATATTACATTGATTTGAGCATATCCCGTATTATATGAAAATAAAATAAAATATTGAATAAAAGTAAAATTATGTAGAAATAAATAAACAAATAACTCATAATATATGAGTATAATAATATTAGGTGATCTATTTAAGTAGGTACACTCATTATTTCAGAAAGTAATAAGTATTAACTTCTTCCAGAATTTGTTTTCTAGAAGATGCTTCTTATTTAAGAAACGAGCAGTTCTATAATTTTATATTTATGTTATTTTTCATCACCCTCATTTCTAGGGGTAAAAACACTAGTTACTTTTGATTCTAAAATGGCAAAATATGTTAAAAGCACATAAATAGATGGAAAATTAATTTTAGTGTTATTGATCAACATTTTTGATTCTCATCAATCTGTTGACGAGATATACTACTTTTAATTTTAGGATGAATAAGAGTAGTGGTGCATTATTAACATGCCGCGCGCGGTACCACTACAGTAATGATACTCCACTACTCTCCGCCTTCCCATATTTAAAAATGAAATATCTCATCAACGAATTGACAGAAACCAAAAATTTCAACCCTAAAATTTACTTTAACTAATATTCCATATATTTATATATTTATGGGCTTTTAAATATACGTTCCCATTTGAAAAATAGGTAATTATTTTATCCCCATAATAAGGACGACAAAAAATAAAATAAATATCGAATTGTAGAACTACTTGTTTTTTAAATGTTTTAGAAAACAAATTGCAAAAAAGTTAAGAATTTCTGAGATAATGAGTGTACCCACTTTAATAGACCACCTGGTAGATTAATAATATTATATTGATTGATTCACAAATGAATGTGATTAGATTGTAGACAATTTAAAAATAGACAGCATTTTAAAACCACCAAATTATTTATTTAAAGTTTTTTAATGATAGGAGGTTAGATTCTTAACACATATATATTTTGATTTATTTTTTCAGAAATAATACAATTTTTATAATTGGCATAGCTTGTTATCAATTATTCATACAAGCAAATTGGACTGGACCTTTGTTATCAAATATGTATGTTGTATAAAGTTGAGTTATCGTATTAAATATTTATACTTCATATTATTTTTAGAGACTTGGAGAGTTGGGGTACAAGTACTGAAGTAATAGAAAGCTTAGTTAGTGATTTGGATTGTGTGTCTAGAAAAGTATTACATCCGGAACTCTTAGTATTTTCTTATGCAATTTTTAGCATTGAGCAAATACATATTTCTGTAAGCACTTTATATACTTATTATAAATATTATTAACTTTACAGTTAGTATTTTTTTTTATTTAAGTTTATATATATTTTAGACACAGACTTGGTGGCAAATAAGAATGCTCTCAACATTACAATCATTACTAAATGAATTATCAAATGATATAAAAAATATTTTAGAAAAATCTTTTGAAAAAATGGAAATGATCAAATGGGAAACCAACGAAGAAGAAGCATTGTTCAGGTTAGAACAATGTAAAATTTATCTTACACATTATAGTAATGTTTCAAAAAGTACTAGTTATTTGAATACAGCAATGAATTTATTGGGGTTAGAGCATTCTCTTGTTGGTAAGTCAACATATTACCAAAACATAATATTATTTTGAAAATTAATTGTTTTAAGGTGCAATGGGCAAAAGAACCAAATTTCAAGTAAAGGAGCTTGCTCAGTTAACTTTAAATATAAATTCACTTTCAACAGAAAATGGTACACACTTTTTTACACATACATGCAATTATTTACCTAAAGTAAGTTGCTGGAATACTACTAAATAATATTAGTGTAATATTGTGTTATTTTTCTAAGGATTGTGTGTTAGATGATGAAAACCGTTTACCAGATATCAAGTTTAATGATGAAAGTAATAGTACATTCCCCAAGTTAAATAGTCTTCAACAAGCGGCCATCTTAAATTCACTGTAAAATAAATGATAATGTATATGAATTAAACACATTTCTTTAACTAATGGTTTTTATTTGTTTAAAGTATACTGGAACAAAAAAGTAAACCCAAAGATGATCTCCAATTTGAAGAATTGCAGCCATATATAAGGGTAATTGTTTGCATATTTGTATTATTATTGTGTTACTGAGATCTTTTTTATATAGTGTTTAGTGTCACAAAACTCTGTGTGGAGTATTCATGTATCAACTTTGCTTCAACGATCTTTACTAGAAAAAGATAGCAGAAGATCAGTTGAACGAGCAATGCAACAAATTGAAGTAAATATTAATTTAAATATAAAGATACTGAAAAAAAATAATAGCTAAATATCATAAAAAATTAGTGTTGTTGTGAATCCTAATTTTTAAAGTCGAACCGAACCAAACTTCTTAAAAATTAACGAACCCAAACTAAGCTGCTCTTTTAAAATACTTTATTGAACTCAAATTTAAACCTAAGAAATTAAAAAAGGTTATCCTGTGGGTTGGTGGCAGAAGTTATATATTTGTATGAAATTTAAAAAAATAAATTATATGAGACCCACTAATGTGAAAAAATATAATTTTTCTTTTTCATAACGACCACCCTATCCCACCACAGAACATTGTATTGGTGATAAGTAACTCTGTCGTTTTAATTTACATAATATAAATTAGTCTTAAAACTTTCGCAATATACTTTATCAGATAATTTTTATCTAATCTGTGATAAAACCGTATGACAATTTGATGAGTTGTTCCAGAGATTATTCGAGTATAAGATTTTCATATTCACATATATATAGATTAATTAAACTACTATATCAATATTTAAGAAATTAAAAAAATAATCATAAGTTCTATTTTTCAATTAATCTAATAACTGTCAAAAATAAATAAAAATGCATAAAATATGTATTATTTATTTGTTTATACATACATTTGATAGCAATGAAAAATCTCCATTATACACAAATTTTAAGTCAAATTAAGGTTTTAAATTCAAATTAAATCAATAGAATAAGAAAGAAATTAGAAGAAAACTTATACTTTAAAAAAAAAAATACATCTAAACAGTATTAATTACTGGGGTGTGAGTTTCTTTATGTTTAAAATTCAAAAATATGTACATAAATAATATGTATTTATTTTTAACCAAATATGCAATTAAAAATACGAAATAATATGTAAAAAAATAAAATTTTTTTAATTCTTGATATAAATGTATAAATAAATACATACTGTGTATTTATATATCAATATAAATATAAAATAATATTAAACAGTATCCATCAGATTGTTATAATTAAATTATACATCAAAATTACATGTATTTTAATTTGAGTATAGGACTCTTTCACCTTTCAAATGTTGTCAAAGGTAAATTGATATCAATTAGGGCACAATATGTTTTTATAGTAGATAAAGGACTTCTTAGTGTTGTCAAAAGTTATAGTAGTAAATTTAAAAGTTTTTTAATTCATTAATACTGAGTTCAAGAAAAGTTTGTGTATTGCTGCCATTGTGGATATTTACAATAGCTTTAATTGTCTTTAAACTAGGGTTTTGACTAAGGGCTTTTTCAACTTTTTTCTTGATTTTTTGTCAAACTTTCCAGGGGCTTTTTTAATTTGTTCACAGTATCATAACTAACAATACCCATGCTATCAACCAGGAACAAGTTTTGAGATTCAAGTTTCATAATAGAATTAGCAAGGAATGTAGTATTGGAGGAAATGTGCACTAAATTATTTCTCATTAAATTAGTTTTTATCGAATTATTGGCATTTTCTACTGAAATGGGGTCCATTTTGAATTTTAAAACTACATCTTCAATGATATTAAAATTGTAGCAGTATCTCCGTACTGCTTCTCCAAGCACATAATAAATAATTTGAATGAAGATACAACAATAATTTTTTTTTTAAATAACTGAATATTTAACAAAAATATATTAGTAAGTACAAATATGTAATATCAGCCATAGCTTAAACAATCAGATAGTCCTACAAAATATTTCTGTAATAAAATCATTAGATTATTATCATTCGTGACAAATATGTAAATTTATACAACTTATCCGCACCCTAGTAATTACCTTAACAGATATAATCATAATAGTTTATTATGTATATACAAATATGTATAACAACTTATTTGTATGCCATTAAAAATACTTTATTAACTAAGTATTTGAATTAATGTTTTTTTTTTTTTTTTTTAGACTTTAGTAACCAATTTAGAAACAACTAGCCCACCCAATGTGGATAGGTCATATTTATTTCATTGTTCTTATGTTTCACCTTCTTGGCAACTTAAAGCATATTTGGGTAATATAATGCTATCAATTGGTGCAATCCAAAGTGCATTAGATTGGTTTTTAACTCTTGATTTATGGGAAGAATGTGTTGCTTGTTATAATACTCAAGGCCTGAAACATAAAGTAAATATTCTTACATAGGTACATCATAATTCTCACCGGAATTTAGAATTTATGTTTTTGAAACGATAAATATGATTTTATTATAGGCTGCAGAAATTCTCGAAAAAGAGTTGAAATCCCCAAACCTTACTATAGCTAAAACTATTTTAATTTTGTGTTTGCTTGGTGATGCTACTGATGATCAATTTCTTTATGAGAAAGCATGGAAGATATCTGGTTACCGAAGTAGTAGAGCACAAAAACATTGGGCCTTTTATCATTACACTAGAAAAGAAGTAAGATATTATTTTTTAAATGATTATTATATCTAATTTAATTATTGATACTGTAAAAATGAAACTAAAGATAATATTATTTTTTAGTGAATGCCTTTTAAGTTTAAATACAATATATATTATTATATAGTATAAAATTATTGCTAATTATTTTATAATTTTTTCTTATAACCTAAAAAAAAGTATTTTTGAATAAATAAATAATTTAATTTTAATTAAATTTTATTCTAGAATAAATATATTCTGCAAGAAATTAATAAGATTTACTGTTATTTTCAGTATAAAGAAAGTATTGAACACTTCAAAAGTTCTCTCCAAATAAATTATTTACAAGAAACATTATGGTTTAGACTTGGTTTTGCGTGCATGGTTGAAGAACGATGGTTAGAAGCTGCAGAAGCATATAGAAGATATTGTGAACTTGAAGCTGATGTAAGTAATAAATAAATAAAAGATTATAAGTGTATATAAAAGAATAGTTTGTATATTAATAAATAACAAAATACATGTTTATGATGACTGATAAATAGAACTAAACATTTATTTTAATTTATATTCGTGTTTTTCAATTTGTAACTCACCCAATAATAAATGTTATCTCATATCTACAACAATAAAATTCATTATTAAACATGTACATAGAAAAATTGTAATAATTATGTCAGCGAATCTTATTCAATTATACCTGTAAAAACCCGATTGTTTAAAATTTAATTTTAAAAAGTTTATTTTTAACTATGAAGCTATTAATTATTTTACAATTAAGATATAGGTATTTAATTAATTTGTTTTGTTATTGACCATAATATTATTTTGTTTATAATTAGGAATAATTTGGAAAATTATTTAAACAATAAATCTTAATCAAATATTTGTATACTATTTTATCAATTTAGTATACATTTTACCATATCGCAGCAGCAGAATTATTTAAAGTTAATATTCTTCTGTGCTTACAAATGGTTACATTATATTTTACAACATATGGGGAAACTAGCAATTAAAGCTTCTTTTGCCTAGTTTTTGGTTGTTGGTAATACATTAAACATATCTTATTAATTTTAATTTTAAATCAATTTAACTCTAATAATATATGATTTCAATTTAAGTGTTTTGAAGCTTGGAACAATTTAGCAAAATGTTATATTAAAAGTGGTCAGAAATCAAGAGCTTATTATGCATTAAAAGAAGCTGTAAAATGTAATTATGAAAATTGGATGGTTTGGGACAACTTGATGGTAGTCAGTGTGGATTGTGGTTTTTTTGAAGAAGTAATAAATAAATTAATTTTTACAAAATTCAAAATAATTTCTTTAAATTCAAAATTTACTAAATCATTTTTAATACTAAAGGCAATGAAATGCTATCACAGATTAATGGACTTGAAAAGTAAACATGTAGATTTGGAAGTTTTGAGTATTCTAGTACAAGCTGTAAAAAATAATATTAAAGATGAAAATGATAGACCAGCATCAGAGAATAGGAAATGTTTGTTGCAACTTTTTGGAAGACTTACATCACAGGTTTGTTAAATTATGTTTTGAAATGTTTATAACCTAATTATTTAAAAATCAAAATAATATATAGGTACAAAATGATGGTAACATTTGGAAGTTGTATGCACATCTAGAAGCAGCAGTACCAATAATAAATAAAGAAACAGCTGATAAAGTTTTACACCATTTACAATGTGCCCATCGTTTTACTACACAAGGCAACAAATGGGCTCAAGAAAAAACCTCTTGCATGACAGTCATTGAGTTATCATTAGAACTTGCCAAAGGTTTGTTTGTACTTATGTAATATATATATATATATATATATATATTTACTAGTTATCTATCTAAAAAAAAACAATGAAACTTTAAGGAGGTAAAATTTTTCGACAGTTCCAAATAAAATTATCAAAGAACACAAAAGAGAGAAATAATCATAGGGCTGTTATTGAGTTTTCTTGATTAATCATCTCAATGTACCTTTTTTTTATCTTTAACAGTCTAACTTGTTAAAATTATACTATAATATTATATAAGAACACTCGCTTTCCCTTGCAGTTTTTATTCATAATTGATCTAGGCCCTAGAAGTTAGTTGATAATTCAACTGTGGTATTTAAAAGATCAATTGTGTGTAAATATTAATTTCAACAATTTGATCTCATAAAATCTTTGTATCTTCTATAAGAAACTAAAGTTATAAAATTACTGTCCAAAACAAATACAGAAACATTGAATAATTAGAAATGATTTTATTTAAAATGGCATAATCAATTTAATATATTTTTATTTGTTTGCAGCATATATTGACTGCTGTAATAAAACTGAAAACAATGAAGTACATAAAAAACAATTTTTATCATCTGGAAAACTTATGTTAGTGTCTGTAATCTCCCAAATTGAAGTTAGTATATTTTAAAATACATGTATTTTGTGGTAGTAAATTTAAATTTTAAATTATTTGTTATATTATGCATGTAGAAAGAAAAACAATTATTAATGGAAAATATGGACGTACAAGAAGAATTTGAAAAAATAAAAAATATTTTAAAAGAAATCAAACTTCAAATTTCAATAATAGTGTAAATATACAGCATAATAATTATGATACAATATGTATTAAACAAATATTTGTGATCATTCTTTCTGAAAAATGTCTTGTTGTCAAATAATATGATAATGTTGGATTGAATTCTTAGTATTATATTATCTAAATCACAGGTGAATGTTAAATTTATTGATGAAGTATATGTTTAAAGTGTCATATAATAAAATATTACTATTATTTACTATTTTTTAAAAATGATTTTTAAATAAATTGTGCTTTAAGGTTAGTAAATATGTGTTTATAGTTCAACTTATAAACT